GAGGGCCGACCTGGGCGACGCGATGCGCCGCGGCGGTGATGGCGCGGAGCACGTCGGCGACCTGGGGCCGCCCAAGCCGCCGGGGCCCCTCCCACCTCTGGCCCGAGGTGTGGCCAGGGGCTCCCCACCGAGGGATTGTGGGGCGAGATCCGTCAAGCGGCGAGGGCCTGGCGAGGAGGAGAGAGGCAGGTACGGACCAGGGCCGCGGCGTGCGGCGCCAGCGGGGCGACGCGGCGCACGACGGCGACCTGGGCCGCCCAATCCGCCAGGGTCCCATCCCACCTCTGGCCCTCGGCGCGGCCAGGGGCCCCTCGGCGAGGGGCAATGGGTCCGCCCAGCGGCGGGAGCAGCGCGAGGAGGAGGGGAGAAGCTGCTGCTGAATAGGACCACGGCGTTCAGCGCCAGAGGCACGACCTGGGCGACGTGATGCACCGCGGCGACGACGACGCGGAGCACGTCGGCGGCCCGGGCCGCCCGCGCCGCCAGGACCCCCCCCCCCACCTGTGGCCCAAGGCGTGGCCAGGAGCCCCTCGGCGAGGGATAGTGGGCGGGACCCGTCCGGCGGCGAGGGCCCCGCGAGGAGGAGAGAGGCAGCTGCCGTGGCGACCAGCCAACGTCGCCAGGAGACGGACAGAGAAGATACCAGAACAGGGGCGACGCTGAGGACTGGCTACACCATCGACGAGAATACAGGGTCCCCTCCATTGCGCGCGGCGAGCGGCGCGGTGGCCAGACTCGACGGTGTCGACGAGGGAAAAGCCCTTGGAAGAGCCCTCCTCCTCCCCCTCCTCCTCCTCCTCCTCTTCCTCCTCCTCTTCCTCCTCCTCCTCCTCCTCCTCCTCCTCCCCTCCTCCTCCTCCTCCTCCCCCTCCTTCCCCTCCTCCCTCCTCCTCCTCCTCCTCCTCCTCCTCCTCCTCCTCGTCCTCCTCCTCCTCCTCCTCCTCCTCCTCCTCCTCCTCCTCCTCCTCCTCCTCCTCCTCCCTCCTCCCCTCCCCTCCCTCCACCTCCTCCTCCTCCTCCGCGCCCTCCGTCTTCTCCACCCCATCCGCCTCCTCCGCCTCCTCCTATGTGCCAGTCGTTGAAAGCAGGTACCTCTGAATCCCCAGCGCGAACTTGCAGGTATCCCTGACCGCCCCATGGCCTGACGATTCGGGGCTCTGGTCCTCGCTTCTCGCGCCTCGCTCCGCACTCCGCGAGCCCGCCTTCCCCACCCCCGTCGCTTCCCCCGCTCCGCCGCCCCCCGCCCCGCCCCGCCCGACCTTTTCATGCTCCTCCCCCTCCCGGGAGAGGGTCAGCGACTACAAAGGGTGCCCGTCGGCCGCCGAGAGGAAGTATTTCTGGATTCCCTGATCCCGGTCTACTTTTGGCGCCTCCCTACTTCAGTGATCGAGCGGTTTCCTTCGCCCCTCCTTGTCAGAGGGGACCCCATCTAGACCTCCACCATCGAGGGCCACCACGAAGGTGCGAATTGAGTCGCGCTTCGCGGTCTGGGCGATCGCAGAGTTAGGCGCGAGTTGTTTATCCTGCTTGGTGCGGGGGGGTCGACGCGAAAGCGCGAAGATATTCGCACTTCGCGGAGCGTGAAGCGCGAAGATACTTGTCCTGGCATCCCCACCTCCATCCCCATCCAGACCCTCACCATCTCACAACCACTGTTGGGGATGTACCCGTCGAGACCCGAAGGAAACGGTCTACATCTCAATTTATCTAGGGGGTAAACCGGCCAGTGTGGCCCAGGTCACGCTGTTGAGGATAGGGGTCGGATCAACGATGCTTGCTCCCCTCCTCCCCAGCCCCCTCGCCTGCTTCTCCCCCCTCTGGGGCCCATCTGAAATGGGCTCGCGGGGGGGGGCCAATTCGATCCGATCGTTCCGGTTCGATGTCGGCCCCCGGCGTCCCGATTCGATTCGATTCCGATGCCCGGTCGATCCGTTGCGGCCCGATGCTTGCATGGCGGCGCCTGTGTCGATGCGGTTCCGACTGCGTGCCGGGGCGGCCCGCGCTCGTGGAGATGAATCTTGGGCTTATTCTGGGCACATCTGGCTGAATGGCCCCTGAATCGGGTTTACTAGACCCCTTCCCACGAAGACATCCCAAGAATTGTTTCCTACAGCTCCCCCTGCTCATCCATTTGCTCATTCTCCTCTTTTTACTTCGTTTTCCCCTTGCTCCGCTCCCCCCCGTCCCCCTCACCCCTGGCGTTGTTTCGGCAACGCGACCGCATGCCCATGTTGAGGATGAGCGCACAGAGTTTTCCAATGACGCCGCTGCGTCCGCCATGTGGTGGACGGCGGGGAGACAGCCGCGGACTGCCCCAACAAGGCTGGTGATTATAGGGAGACAGCGTGGCTATGTTGCCATGCACAGTGGTGGTGGGTCGGTGCGTTTAGAGCCTGCAGCTTAGCGCGGAGGCCGTGTGAGTCACGACCCAGCGCGTGTAGTAGTGAGTGAGAGTTGCGCGGGTGAATTCGGATGGCCTGCAGCTCGTCGCGGAGGCCGCGCTGGTCGACTCGCAGAGCGATGAGATCGGCACGATGTGTCGGGGGTTCGGCGGCTAGGGGGCCCTGCTCCTGAGCCTGAGGGGTCGCGTCACGGGCCCCCGGGGGCGGTGGGGGGGGTTACAGTCGGGGCGTTGAAGAAGGAACCTTGTTCGTTTGGGAGGGGCTCAGTGTTCCTTAGCTGTTTTGCAGTTTGCCTTCGGTTCTCCTTAGGTGTCCGATGGGCAATCGAAGCTTAACCTGTTGAGAAAAGAGGCCTCGTTCATTATTTAGGGTTTCTTGGGTCAACGCCCCGACTGTAGGGGGGGCCAGCCCCGGTGGTGAACCAGCGGGGCGCGCAGAGCGCCCAGTTGCTGCACGACGGTGTCGAGGACGAGGTCGGGCTGCCGGCCTGGTGTCCGCGTCCGTCGCTCAGCTCTCGTGCCTGCCGCCGCGTTGGAGCGGTCGCCGTTGGCCACCTCGCCGCAGACGTTCCACGACGTGCAGGTAGACGGCGTAGTCGAAGTCGAGCTGGAACGAGTGGACGTAGAGGACGATGCCGAGGACGTGGCCCCTTTGAGTGACAACCTGGTTACCCGGGCCAGGGGTGCAGGTGGCTTACGGCTGCGCTGCGGACGCTGCGGCCGGGCAACCCGAGGGCAGCGGGCGGGGAGCAGTGCTCCGAGTAGAGTAGAACTCCTTGCGCCCGCGGCTAGTGAGGGAGTGAATGAGAGGGAGATACGGAAAGAGGGGAAGGGGGAGAAAGAGAGATAGAAAGAGAGAGAGAGAGAGACAGAGCGCGATAGAGCGATGGACAGAGCATTTGCGCGCGAAGCGAATGCCCTCCTGGGGGTATCCTGGGGCCTTTGGGGGGGAGCTGTGGGGCTCCCTCGAAGCCCTCTTGGGGCCTCTCTGGGCCATCCTGGGGCGCCTCCCCCAGGGGCGCCGTGGGGTGCCTCGGTGGGGCCTTAGGGGGCGTCCCTGGAGGTTCGTCAGTCCGTTCCTGATGGCCCCATGGCCCCGAATCGGCCTCCACAGGGCAAACCGTGGTGATACTTTTCCGAAACGAAGGGGTGAGGAGAAGGAGGAGGAGGCGGAGGAGGAGGAGGAAGAGGACAACTAATGAGAAAAAATGAGGAGCAAAAAGACGAGTCATAATAATATTGATAGTAGTACGAATACTAACAAACATATTATTACGAAGGAAGTGGGGGAGGAGGAGGAGGAGCCGCAGGAGGCGGAGGAGGAGGCGGAGGCGAAGGAGGAGAGGATGACAACAAGTAAGACAACGAAGAACAAGGGGAGGGGGAGGCGGAGGAGGAGGAGGAGAAGGAAGAGGAGCAAGAGGAGGAGGAAAAGGAGGACAAATAATCAGAAATATGATAATAATATCATTATTAGTAGGCATAATCATAGTAATACTAGATTATATTAATACGAATTATTAATAGCAGTACTACTACTACTACTACTACTACTACTACTACTGATGATAGTAACGCTAACAACAATAACCATGATACTACTAAGCATAGCCATGATACGAATATGGATTAGTAAAAAACAACACTAATAGTAGTACTACGAATGAGGGGAGGAGGAGGCAAAGGAGGAAGAGGAGGAGGAAGAGGAGGAGGGCAAATAACAATGAACAAAACACAGGGGAGGAGGAGGAGGAGGAGGAGGAGGAGGAGCAGGAGGAGGAGGAGGAGGAGGAGGAGGAGGGGGAGGAGGCGGAGGAGGAGGCGGAGGAAGAGGAGGTGGAAGAGGAAAAGGAGGGAGGATGGAGGATGGATGGGTGAGGATGGAGGAGGCAGAAATGGAAGAGGCGGAGGATGACCCTCCCCACTTTCTCGAGTCTCGCGTGGAGGGGGGGCCGGCCGGAGTCACCGGTCGCGGGCCGGAGTCATCAGCCATATTGGAGTCATCAGTCGCAGTTCGCCGACTTCGACGCGCGCCCGCGCGGTCGAGGTCCGCCGCCGTCGTCGTCGTCGCTATCGTCGAGGTTATCGTCGAGGTCGCCGTTGTCGTCGTCGTCGTCGTCGTCGTCGTCGTCGTCGTCGTCGTCGTCGTCCGTCGTCCGTCGTCCGTCGTCCGTCGTCTCTCGTCCGTCGTCCGTCGTCGCCGTCGCCATCGAAGTCGTCGCCGTTGCCGTCGCAGTCGTCGCACTCGCCGTCGTCGCCTTCGTCGTCGTCGTCGTCGTCGTTCTCGAGATCGTCGTCGAGGTCGTCGAAGTCGTCTTTAAAGAGCCGAGGTCGTCGTCGTCGTCAGGGTGGTCGTCGTCGTCGTCGTCGCCGATGTCCTTCTCCAGGTCCTGGTCGTCGTCAAGGGTCGTCCTCGTCGAGCAGGTGGAGGTCGTCGAGCAGGTCGTCGTCGTCGACGTCGTCGTCGTCGTGGTCGTCGTCATCGGCGGCGGCGGCGGTGGCCGCGGCCGGCCGCCTGGCGCAGGCGCTGGAGGACGACCCCTCTGGCGGCTGGGCCGCGCGCGGGCCCGGCGGAGCGCACCGCGCGAGCTGCTTCGAGATGTACGGCTTCGACGTGCTGGTGGACGACCAGCTGAGGCCCCCCCTCCTCCTCCTCCTCCTCCTCCTCCTCCTCCTCC